TACTACTACTACTCCTACTACTACTACTACATACCACTACCTACTACTACTACTACTACTACTACTACTACTACTACTACTACTACTACTACTACTACTACTACTATACTACCACTCATATAACCAGGCTGCCACGGGGGCGGCACGGGCGGCACGGGGGCGAAACGCCCGCATGTATGGCCAGATGGTTAGACCAAGTAAGAAGCTTTAGGTACAAGCACTTGTTTTGGGAACTACAATGGCCCCTGTGCGGCCAAACCTCAAACGCCTGCAGTGTGGCGGTGGGGCTGTAGATACTACGATACATCCAATGACGATGGACCCACAATGTGCTTCTTCTGACAGCACATGCGCTTCAAAACGTGCATCGCCCCTTGGTGGTCTTTGCATGCTTGGTGGCGGTCTCTCGTTTCGGGTCCGCCAGTGTCTGCCAGGGACCGCGAGGGTCCGCTAGGGCCCGCTGCGGTCCACTGGGGCCCGCTGGGGTCCGTTAGGCTCCGCCAGGGACCGCGAGGGTCCGCTACGAGCCGCTCGGCTCCGTTCGGCTCCGCCAGACCCGCTAGGGTCCGTTGGACCCGCTGAGGTCCACAGGGTCTGCCCGGGTCTGCTAGGGTTGGTTTTGGCCCGCTGGGGTCCGCCAGGGTGCGCTCGGTTTCGCACTCGTCCGTTCGGGTCCGCGCGGTTCCGCTAGGGTCCGTTAGAGTCCGCTAGGGTACGCTAGGGTCTGCGATGGTCCGCTCGGGTCTGCTGGGGTCCGCTGGGATCCGCTGGGGTTCGCCAGGGTCCGCAAGGGTCTGCTAGGGTCCGCTCGGGGCCGCTCGGGCCCTCTAGGGTCCACTCGGGTCCGCTCGGGTCCGCTACGGTCCGCTAGGGCCCGCCGGGGTCCGCGCTAGGGTCCTCTAGGGTCCGCTAGGGTCTGCTAGGGTCCGCTGGGGTCCGCTGGGTCCGCTGGGATATGCGAGGGCCTTCTAAAATCATCGAGGATCGACTATGATCCGCTGGTGTCCGCTAGGGTCTGCATGCGTCCGCTGGGGTCCGCTGGGGTCCGTGGGGTCCGCTAGGGTCCGCTAGGGTCCGCTAGGGTCCGCTGCCGTCCGCTGGGGCCCGCTATGGTCCGCTATGGTCTGCTACGGTCCGCTCGGGTCCGCTGGGGTCCGTCAGGGTCTGCTAGGGTCCGCTAGGGTCTGCTTTGGTCCACTATAGGGTCCGCTGCGGTCCGCCATAGGGTTCCGCTGGGGTCCGCTAGGGCCCGCTTGAGTGAGCTGACCGCTCGGGTCCGCTCGGATCCGCTAGGGTCCGCTAGGGCCCGCTGGGGTCCGCGCTAGGGTCCTCTAGGGTCCGCTAGGGTCCGCTAGGGTGCGCTGGGGTCCGCTGGGGTCCGCTGGGATCTGCGAGGGTCTTCTAAACTCATCGAAGCTCGACTACGATCTGCTGGTGTCCACCAGGGTCTGCATGCGTCCGCTGGGGTCCGCTAGGGTCGGCTGGGGTCCGTGGGGTCCGCCAGGGGTCCGCTAGGGTCCGCTAGGGTCTGCTAGGGTCCGCTCGGGTCCGCTCGGATCCGCTGGGGCCCGCTGGGGCCCACTGGGGCCCGCTGGGGCCCGCTGGGGTCCGCTGGGGTCCGCTATGGTCCGCTCGGGTCCGCTGGGCTCCGCTGGGGTCCGTGAGGGTCTTCTAGGGTCCGCTAGGATCCGCTGCGGTCCGCAAACCAAACCCCGCGGATGATAAAGTATCCCCCCTCAACCTTTGCATCTCTTCATTTTCGGGATTGAATGTGGTTCAATTGCCACAGCAGGCGGGGAGGACGACCTCTTTTATGTTCTCCCATGCACCATGTCACCATCCCACTGCACAGGAATTGCGATCACCCCACATCTCCAAAGAGGCTCCCCGAGAGAGACTAGTGTACCACTTCACCGTAGTAATTCACAGGAGTTGGGCTCTTCCCGCATCTCCAGAGAAGCCGTCTAGAAGGATCATGGAGGCTCTTGAAGACAGATTTCAAAGACCCATCCAGACATCCAAACTTCTCTGGGAAACAGTTGATTATCCCGCCTGGACCCCGTGCTTTATTATCCTAGGGGGGTATATTCTCACCCGCATCTGGTTTCAGCTAGGGTCCGCACGGGACCGCGAGGGTCCAATTGGGTCCGCTGGGGTCCGCTAGGGCCCGCCGGGGCCCAGCTTCGGTTTGCTACGTTCCGCTAGGGTCCGCCGGGGTCCGCTAGGGTCCGTTGGGGTCCGCTCGACTCCGCTGGGGTCTGCTGGGGTCCGCTAGGGTCTCCTGGGGTCCGCAAGGGTCCGCTACGGTCTGCTGGAACCGGCTAGGGTCGGCTAGGGTCCGCTGGGGTCCACTGAAGCCCGCTGGGATCCGCTGGGGTCCGCTTAGGTCTGTTAGTGTCCGGGAGGGGGCGGTGCGGTCCGCTAGGGTCTTCTAGGGTCCGCTAGAGTCCAGTAGGGTCCGCTAGGGTTCGCTTGGGTCCGCTGGGGTCCGTTAGGGTACGGGACGGTTTCGCTGAGGCCCGCTAGGGTCCGCTCGGGTCCGCTGGAGTCCTCTGGGTTCGCTGCTGTCCGCCGGGTCCGCTGGCGTCCGCTAAGGTCCGCTAGTGTCCGCTGGGCCCTGCAGCTCACGCCTGGTGCCTCGCAGCCGCGCGGCCGACGACGGCGACGGCGGTGACGACTGCGGCGGCGATTGCGGTGACGAGGGCGGCGGCTAGGCGATGGTGGCGACGACGGCGACTGCGCCAGCGAGCGCCGTGAGGACGGCCGCGCAAGACTCGCAGGAGCAGACCACGCCGGACTCCTCTGGGGACGAGGAGGACTTCTCTGCGGGGGCGGGGCTTCTGCCCCCGCACTGGCATAGCAGTGGAAGCCCAACGCGGCGCGTGCGCACGCCGATGCACCACATGTGGTGCCTCCTGGCAGATGGACCTTCGAGTCGAGGTGAGAGCACCCAGACGGATGCCACCCCAAGCAAGACGATGCTCATGAGGAGGGAGCCGGGCGCATGCCGTCGGAGATTCCGGTGATTGGGGCCATTGTGGCCCATGTTGGAGCTTTCTCGCCGCCGAAAACAGTGAGAGGGAAACCCCAGAAGGCACGCTGGAAGCTTCAGGAGGACACGCGACACCACCCGGGAAATCTTGCAACGTGGTGCCTCGATACATCGGTGTGCATATAATCATGTACATGTTTTTGAGTACTAATCTGTTCGCATGCCTGTCTGCCTGCCTGTATGTATGTATGCATGCATGCAAATATGAATGTATGACTGTGTGCATGTGTATATGTCTGCATGTATGAGTGTATGCCTGTCTGTATGTTTGTGTGTAGGTTTGTATGTAGGTAGGCAGTTAGGCAGGCAGGCAGGCAGGTATGTATGCAGATGCATTCACTTATGCATGCGTGAGGCTTCGACGTTCCAAGGATCTGAGGACGACGCTACGCCTCGTTCCCCGAGGCCACAGAGGCGGGTACTGCTCCCTGGGCAGTGCTCGCCTTCTCTTCGTAGCCCTCCTGGCCCAAAGGCGTCCTCGTGGCGTCCAGTCCCGAGCTCCTCCTCCTCCTCCTCCTCCTCCTCCTCCTCCTCCTCCTCCTCCTCCTCCTCCAGTGTAAACTCAAGACGCATCACAACGATGGTCCAGTGATGCCTCCCTGCAAGCTCCCTCCCCGCAAGTCCCTGCAAAGGGCTTGTTTTCACTGCTGAGGGTGCTTCGTTGGAAGACAACCGCTTGCGAATCCTCGATCGTCCCAGGGCATCACTCCTTGAACGTCAACGCCGCGAAATTAATTCACGGTTGCGCCCTGACGGTCCCGAGTCGTGTCAGAACATTTCTCTTGAGACTTCAACATTTCGAATCAACGTGATTGATGCGCCCCGACAGTGATAAGCAGTGCTGGAACACCGTTTCTGGGCCGTCATCTATGCGGTTGACGGCGGTAAATTCGTGCACATGTAAAAACAGAGCGAGCCGTGCTCCGTCCGCAAAATTCCTGCAAATGGTTAAGACGAGTGTTCGTGGCGCTAGAGCGATCGCCACATGTTGAAAACCACCCGCCCTCCATCCGTGAAGCTCTTGCAAACTAGTAATTCCACCATGCCTGGCGCTGAGGCGAGAGCCACCTTTTGAAAAGGAACCGCCCTCCACCCGCAAATCGATGTCAACCGTTTCAGACGAGCGCGTGCGGCGGTAAGGCTAGAGCCACATTTTGAAAACCACCCGCCCTCCATCTGTAGAACCTCTTGCAAACTTTGAGGGCGAAGGCGCGCGATGCCCAGGCGAGAGTCACATTCAAAGCACGACCCGCCCTCCATCAGTGTAACTTGCTTTCTTTTGCAGGGCGCACCTGCGCGGCGCCCAGGCGAAAGCCACGTTGTGCGAGACGCACGGCCGCGCGACCCACGCAAAGGGTGCGCTCCCGAGGCCGCCCGCGGCCAGCCCTGTCCGTGCTCCGCGCCGCGCGGACTCCTGGCGCGTGCACTCGTGCCGGATCTCGCGGCCCGCCTCGGCAGCCTTGAGCAAGGACAAGCGAAAGCGCCATGCGGGCTTCTCTCGGCGGCGCTCAGGAGGGTTGGAGGGAGGGGGGAAGGCTTCTTTTGTTGCGCCCTTGCTTCTTAGCTGGCGCGTGCCTTCGCTATACATGTAAGGCTTCTCGTGGGCGCCCCGTGCGCTGGCTGGCGGTTCCGGACGCCCACATCGATTGCACCGTATAGCGCGCAACCCGTGTGTATATACATATATATATAGTTCTATGTAGACAGCTCTTCTAGCTATATATATATATGTGTGTATAGCCACCTGGACTGCTCACGAAGACTGCTCAGCGTGCATTGCAACACACAGACTCCACAACACAACATACAGCACATGGCTCGCACAACACTGAATACACGCCTTTGGTGCTCCACATCGACTGCGAGCCAAACGTTGCGCCGCATAGAGTGCGCCACAGATCTTGCACATGGCTTCCCCATCTCACAGCGCCATCACACGGATTGCACCACACGCCTGGGATCTAGCTTACCGGAGTGATTGCACATACGCAGATCTTCATATGATTCCAGCATGGCCCGATTGGCTCGGGCCAGGAATCGTGCGCAGCTCAGTCGATGCTTCCACACGTCCTTACCGCAGTCACCAAGTTGGCTGGGTTGGCCTGCCTCGGACTTCGGCCACGTTCGCAGGACAGCGTTTTGTGTGTGTGTGTGTGTGTGTGTGTGTGTGTGTGTGTGTGTCACAGCCGCGCTGCCGTGGGCTGGCGAGAGTGCGGGGCGGCTCGCGCCGAGCCCCCTGGGCTCGGCCATCTCGTAGCGATGTTTGGGCAGCTCGGGGCCACCTCAGGCCATCCTGGGGTCTCCTCGGGGGCACCTTCGGCCCCTGGGGCCATCTTCGGGCCATGTTTGGACATCGCGAGGTCATGTCTGAAGCATCTCGGGCTCATCTTGAGGGTGTCTTGGGGGCCTCCTTGCGGCCTTGGTGGGCTGACCTTCGCGATGTGGGCGGCACCTTGGGCCTTTCACGGCCACCTCGGGTGGGACAGACAAGAGCACTGCGACCACTGCTGATTTTCAGTGTGCTGTGTCCGTTTAGTCGCCTTTCTTTCGGCGTCGTGGGTCATCTTGACAATCTTGGAGGCCATCTTGGCAGTCTATGCGGTCAGCTCGGCCGTCTTGATGAGATGTGTCATGCTTTTGGAGATCTCGTGTGAGGCTTCTCTGAAGCCTCTTGCGGGCGGTGTTGGGATGCCTTAGGGCCTTTCGGGGGCCTCTTGGAGGCCTCGTGGGGCCGCTCGCGCGCGTCTTGCGGGCCTCCTGGGGCGTCTTGGGGTCCTCTTGCTGGCGGTCTCGGAGGTCGTTTTGGGTTGGAGGGTTCGACATGTCAGTTCGAGTTTCCCTTTTAGGGCTATCTTTTGAGCCGACTTGGGGGCCTCTTGGGCGTATTGGGATGATCGTGGGCGCCTATGGGGCCGTCTTGGAGCGTCGGAAGCCCGAACGGGCGAGGACGTCTGCTTGAATTCATGAAGCACTTACGTAATATCAACAAGGTGTGCCTTCGGAGGGAGGGGGCTGTTAGGGGTGTCCCTGGGGGCCGTATTCGGGTCATCTCGGGCGTCTTGTGGGCCTTCTGGGCGACTCGGGGCGCCCCTTCACCGTCCGCCGCAAGGCCTCCATCGGCCTATGGACCTGCCGTACACGGCGTGTGCTCTTCTTCTCATGGTTGGCACAGCCGCTGATAAAGATGACCACTTAGGGCGCAGGAGGCGTTTTTTTTTCTCGGACCGTTCCTCAGATAGGGGGCCACACGCGAACCCTACCCCTACCCCCCACGATCTCTGAGGGGGAGCGAAGTGAACCCCACCCTCCCCCTCAGAAATCGTGGGGGGTAGGGGCAGGGTTCGCGTGTGGCCCCCCTATCAGAGCTGGGTCGAGGAGCGTATTCGTGGCCGAGGCTCGCTGTGGCCAGGCAGGCCCCTTCGTTCCTCGTGTCGGCCGTCCTGCTGATGGCACGATGACTTCACGGTGGGGGCGCTCGTTACGTAAAGCATGTGGCCAGGAAGCCTCAGATCCTGGAGGATTGATCCCTTATCTGGTGAGGGCAGCGGTGATAGCCGTGGCCGAGCCGCAACTGGTGTTCACCGGCTTTCAGACCCTAGACTCCTTATACTAGGGGTCTTTGACAAAAGCCCTCATTGGTCTCCTGTCTTGCTTCTTAGCTCTTCTTCTTCTTCTTCTTCTTCTTCTTGAACCTGGCATCCTGGCTGCAGCAGCACAGCTTTGAGCCTTTGGGACTCCACTCCGTGACAAGGGCACGGTGGCGGATGTATTATCCTCCTCTTCTTCTGAAGATTATTATCAGTATTGCACGCTTGCGATCCTGGCTGTTGTTACTATCCTTTGTTACTCTTAGTCTTCTTCTTAGTCTTCCTCGCCTTCTTCGCCTTCTTCTTCTTCTTCTTCTTCCTCTGACCCACCCCGCTCCGACTCCCCCGGAGCGGCCGCCAGGACCGCAGCGCCCAGCCCGCGCCGAGGGCCACCAACCTCGCGGAGGTGGCGCGGCGCACCGCCGCGCTCCCGGCGCTGCCCGGCTTTGCCGGCTTCGGGCTGTCGGAGGCCCGCCGTTGCCGTCGACGGCCGCCGCCGACGTCGTCGTTGCCGTCGGCGCTCCAGCTGCCGGCGCCGCGGTCGCCGCCGCGGCGGCCGCCGCCGCCACCGTCGCCGAACGCCGAGCGCCGCTGCCGCCGCTTCACGCCAGCCGCCGACCGCCGTCGCCGCCGACCGCGGTCGCAGTCGCAGTCGCCGCCGCCGCCGCCGCCGGCCGGCGCTGCCTGGCGTTGCCGACCTCGGGCAGTCAAAGGCCAGCTCTGGCACCCGGGACCCAGCCGTCGCGCCGCCGCCGCCTTCTCCGCCGGCCACCGCCGCCGCCGCGGGCCTCTCGAGAGGGGGCGGCATTTTCAGAAGCCAGGAGGGCTTCTAAGATGGCCCATTTCTTTTTACGAGACCTACGAAGGCCCCTTCCTCCTTCTTATTAGAAAGGCCCACACCGACCCCCCAGGACGGCCCAAGATTGCACACAAAGCTAGAAGATGAGTTCAGGAGCCGCCCCCTGGAGCCCTGGAGGAAGAGGTGCAGGTGTAGGAGGAGGAGGAGGAGGAGGAGGAGGCGGAGGAGGAGGAGGAGGTGGGGCCAGCCTGAGGGAGGAGGTAGAAGAGAAGGAGGGAGAGGGGGGATGAAATGTAGGTGGAGAAGGGGAACAGCGGAGGCTGGGGAGGAGAAGGAGGAGAAGGAGGAGGAGGAGGAGGAGGAGAGATGAGGAGGAGGATGAGGAGAAGGAGCCGGCAGGACCGGGAGGGTGGCGGAGAGAGGGGCGCGGCCCGTTTGCACATGCAGGCCGTCGCCCTGACCAACCACAGCTGCGAGCCGAACGTGGAGGTCCGCACCACGGGGGACGCCTGCGAGGCCACGGGGTCGTCGTCGGTTGTCGTCGTCATCGTCGTGGTCATCGTTCTGTTCGTAGTCGTCGACGTGATTTTCGTCGTCGGCGTGGAGGTCGTCGTCGTAGTTCGTAGTCCTGAGATGTGGGTGATGTGTTTTTCACGCTGGGCGATTTCGCCGTGCGTCGGACCCGTGGACCACATCGATCCGGCTCAAACATGCAGCATAAAAGAGAGGTCTAGAGTTCCAGCCGTGATGTATGGCGTTGTTTTCTCGCAGCGTCGAATCTCAGGATGAGATTGGGTCGTCGATTTTCTTTGTTTGCATGTGGCCCATGAAGGGCTTCGCGGCGGCGTCGCCACTTGGCCGGAGGAGGAACAAGCAAAGTGCTGGTGGTCGTCGTCTCGATGATCTTCAGGACGTGTGTTAGCCCGAGTGCCTGCTTGCCCGCTTCGGCTCCGCCGACAGCGCGCAGCCTGTGTTGGCCTCCGCTGCACCGCCTGCGCTGTATTGAAGGGCCTCGGCGGACGAGTACACGTTGGTGCGAACACGCGTTCTAAGGACTATCCATCGTCGCCGTCGTGGTCGCCGTCGTCGTCGCCGTGGTTTGTCGCCGTCGAGAGCGTCAGCTGGGGGCAGGAGCGGGAGCAGCAGCGCGAGCCAGGCGGGACGAGTGGGCCCCCTGACCGGAGCCCCTCCCTCGTCTCCACCTCCCTCGGTCCTGGTCGCCCTCCTCGCCCTGGCCCTCCTCGCGTCGCACTCCACAGTCCCTCCCTCGCTCCTCCCTCCTCATCTTCCTCCCCACGGCCCCCTGTCATCGTAGGCCTCCCAGCTGGAGTCGGAGTAGATCGGGTCGCAGGAGCGCGCCGCATCGTCGATCCGCATCGGCGATGCGGATCGATGTGGAGCCTGATCTTCTCCACGCCGACGGCGCCGATGCACCGCCAGCATCGCTGGCATCGCCGATGCATCGTCGATGCACTGGCGATGCATCGGTGAGGCGGCGCGATCCTGCGACCCCATCTCCTCGGACGCCATTTGGGAGGCCTCTCAGCCGGGCTTCCCCGCCCGCCCACCCGGGCAGAAGTGCCCAGGGCGCACGTGCGGGTCGTGAGCGGCGGCTCGGAGAACATGGCATCGTTGAGCTTGCAGGGGGGTAATCATGTCTGATGAGTGTCCAGGGGCATGCCTCGACGAGACTCGGCATCGATCGTTGCAAAGTCTATTGGGGCCATATTGGCGTCTCGTGGGGAACCAGGTGCTCTTGGAAGCGCTATGAGCGCGTAGAGCATTAGGACCCGTGGGGCACGCAATGCGTGAGGAGTATGCGGAGCTGAGGCTCCCTTCCAGCGGTTTTAAGCGTCCACTGAAGGTTTAGTGCGGAATGCACGGTCACGGAGTGCGTGATGAGCGTTCCGAATTGAGGCTTCATTGCGCCGTCTTGAGGATCCATTTGTGCGCCTCTGGGGGTCCATGAGACATCAAGCACGTGAGAGGCGTGCTTGGATGTATGAGGCTCCATCGGTGTGTCCTGAGGGACCGTGAGGGGTGTGCCGACTTTCACAGCTCATGGCCGCTCGTGCGCCAACTCACAGTAACCCTCCCTGTCCAAGAAGCCCGGGAACGGGCGCGGCACAATCGCTGCACTCTGCGACCCAGGCGCGGCACGGCACAGCACAGTAAGGATATGCAACCTTCCTAAGGGGTACCCCGACATCCTTGCCTCCTCGGTCCATCCTTGGCCACTTTCGTTGGCCGCACCCCGCTCGAAAAGCTTCGACATTGGCGTCCAAGGCCCTTGCATCCTTACCGCGCATCCTTGGCCACGGGCTGACGGTACGGCACGGCGCGGCAGACTTATCGCGCCCTTAGAAGTTGGGCGATCACCGGGGCACGGCGCGGCGCGGCACGGCACGGCACACGCCTCTCCTTCTAGAACAATTTGGTGGCACGGCGCGGCGCACGGGGGGCGCGAGGCACGGCTCGGCGCGCCAGGGCCACGGCACGGTTTTTGTTGGCAGTCTGGGGCGCAGGCACGGCACACGGGCACGGGCACGGGGCATCGCACGGCACGGCCAGCCCGGGGGTGCCCATGCTTCGCATGCTTTCGTGGCAAGACGGGTTTCCAAACCGGTGCAGACCCTCTGTAGAGTCCTCTGGTTGCCCATGGAGAAACATGCGTTGCTGCGTGGTCGTTTTCTCTCTTCCTCTCCATGTCCCTTTCTCCCCCCATCCTCGCAAAGTGCTGCAGAGAACTAAGCACCGAGGTGACCGCCACTGCACTGCGCGACATATCCGCAGGAGACGAGATCCTCATGAGCTACATTGACGAGGACCGCGGACACAGAGACATACAGTGCAGGGCAGGAGGGGGGAGGCGGATACGGGTTCAGAGGAAGACAGAGGAGCAACTACGAGGAGGATGATTGGAGGCCAGAATGCGATGCGAGCGCGTGATGCCGATCCCGCCGTAGCGATGGGAGGCCTCACCGATAAGGCAAGAGAGAGAGAGAGAGTGGTAGAAGGGTGGATGGAGACAGAGAGCGAGTGAGGAAGGAGGTCACCATACAAATGTGAATGTAAAGTTGGTCATATACACTCACGTACAAGTATTAGCCAGCGTGGCCCCACAGGGGGGGGGTCGAGCAATCCATGTGGTGCTAACTATGCGGGGCAATACATGTGGACCAATACATGTGGTGCAGTCGATGTTATGCAAACATGTGATGCAATGCTGTAGGTTGTGCAATATGTGCTGTGCACTCTACGATGCGCAATATACGATGTGCAACCTATGTGGTGCAGTCTACGTGGTGCAAGATATGTGATGTAATCCATGTGGGGCAAACTATGTGGTGATACCAATGCAATGCAAATTATGTGGGGCATTATAGGTGGTGTAATATATGGTCTGCAACCTATGGTGTGCAATATATGCTATGCAATGTTGGAGGAGCAGGTTTGTGGTTCCGCATATGCGGTGGAATTTGTGTGGTACACTCTGTGCTGTGCAACATGTGCACGATGTGTTGTGCAATATTTGTGGTGCAATCTATGCGGTGCAGGATCTGAAGTGCAATCTGTCTACGGGTTGCAACCGATGCGTTGCAATCCATGTGGTGCAACCTATGTCGGGGGTTGCGACGGCGGCAACACAGCCGCCAGACCGACAGACGGGCCCAGGTACGGGCGGCGACGAGGTGGCAACGGGACGGCGACGGCGGCAACATAGCCGCCAGACCGACAGACAGGCCAGGGTATGGGCGGCGACGAGGCGGCGACGGGGCGGCGACGGCAGCCACATGGCCGCCAGATCAAGGACACGGTCCAGATGACAGGCGGCGACGGGGCGGCGACGGCGGCCACATAGCCGCCATACCGAAGAAACGGCCCAGATCCTTAGAACAGCACTGCTTGGGGAATTTGCTCATACACATTTGATTAAAACATGCGTAAACATCCATCTCTATATGCGTGTATATATATATATATATATATATACAAATATGTATGTGAAAGAGCGCGTTCTGTGGACGCTGGTAGGGGGGGGCGGGTTCGAACCGGGAGAGGGTGGGCCCCCCTCCTGACCTGCAATGGGGGGGGTTCGAACCCTGAGGAACTGCAAGGGTGGGGCGGTTCGAGCCGGAGATGGGGGGGCCCTCTCAAGGGGGTCGAGCGGGGCCTTCCACCCCCTCTCAATGGTAGGGGGGGGGTGGTTAGGTGCGGGGGGCCCCCCCCCGGCGCCCGTGCCGTCTGGCAGCGACGACGACGACGAAGACGAGGACGAGGACGAGGGCGAGGACGTCGACGACGACGACGACGACCACGACGACGAGGACAACGTTGCCGACGACGATGACGACGACGACGACGATCACGACGTCGGCGACGCCGCCGCCGACGACGACGACAACGATGGTGACGACGCCGCCGCCGACGACGACGTCGACGTCAACGGTGACGTCGCCGACAACGACGACGCCGACGGCGGCGGCGACTGCGGCGACATCGACATCGACGGCGGCGGCTGCGACGACGACAACGCCGACGACGACGACCGATTCCTAGTAGACTGCTATTCAGGCTGGATCGTGCCCCAGTAAGGTTCTGTTGTGCTGTAAGAGCCAGACCGGGCCCTAGCATGATGACCCCCGGACCTCTTGCTGGCACGAGCATGCGAGCGCAGGGGCCCGGACCCCCTCCCTCCCTCGCTCGCTCTCTCGCCGCCTCGGGCGAGCACACGAGCACCACGAACGGAAGGTCCCGCCACGCCCGACCCGCTCGCTCGCTCGCTGGCTCGAGCGAGCAGGCGAGCGAGCGAGCGAGCGAGCGAGCACCACGCATTTCGTGTCCCGCCCCGTCGAGCCGCCCCTCAGTTGCTCCAGCGAGCGGCCGAGCGAGAGGACCCCCTTCCGTCCCTCTTTCGCTCGCTTGCTCGAGCGGGCGAGCAGGCGGCCGAGCGAGCAAGCGAGAACAATGCATTTACTGTCCCGCCCGCTCGAAGCGATTTCCATGGCTCGCTCGCTCGCGTGCTTACTCCAGCTAGCGAGCGAGTGAGCACGCGAGGAGCATGAGTTCAATGACCCTCCCGACACGACCCGACACGACCAGACTTGTTCTCTTGTTTGCGGTCGTAAGGTTCCATGAAAGTTGGATCGATCTTTAGTCCGATCGAAGTAGAGTTGGATCCAGCTGTTGTGGTATTCCGCTAAAGTTGGATCGAGCCCGACTACGATGCGATTAAAGTTGGATCCAGCCGCAGTAGGATTATGTTGGCGTTGCACCGAGCCTGCGTACAGATGGACTATAGGAGAGCAGGGCCGAGCTCGACTTGGATGCCAGTGCAGCTAGATCCAGCTCTAGTCGGACTAGATTCGAATTGGGTCGAGCTTGAGCAGGATCCAATCAGAGCTGGATCCATCTGTAGTAGGAAGGGGCGCCTCGACATCCCCCTCCTGGGACACGGGGGCGGTGGGGGGGGGCAGGACGTTCGAGCCTCCCCTTGCAATTCAGGGGGGAAGGCCCAGCCCGCTGGTTCGATCCCTTCCCCCTTGGACAGGAGGGGTTGGGCCCCCCACCCCAGTTCGACTCCACAGGGGAGGGGGGGGGATGGAGGCTGGTGTCCAGGGGGGGATATGGAGGCAGAGAGAGAGGGACAGGAGGGAGGTCGAGGAAGAAGGCGATGCGCAGAGGCAGAGGGATGGAGCGAGAGGCAGGGGCAGAGCAAGTGACAGAGGTGTCGAGAGGCAGACATCAGCAACGACATCATCGTCACCATAGTCATCCTCATCTTCGCCGTCAGCAGCGTAGACATCATCGTCGCCAGAACACCATCGTCATCAGTATCATCGTCGTCAGTGTCACAATCCTGCATTTCATCTTCGTTATCCTTCTCCTTCCTCCTGCGCGCCCTCACTTGCCCCCCGACATCCGACGTCGGGATTTGTTCCACAACGTGGCCCCTCCGAATTCTGGACCCCTTCCTTGGGACGTGCTCCTGACTCGTTTTTGGACAGTCACGGGGCCCCGTGAGGGCCCCTGGAGGTCGAAACTTGCCAGAAGCCTCCCGTTGTGATTCTCCAGCGCGCGAGGTAAGCAAGTGCTGTTTGTTGCTCTCTGGTCATAGCTCGGGTCTCCGGCGGCCGTTCGGCACGAGCTGGGCACGTCCGGAACGCCCTCAGCGAGGCGCAGCTGTCGGAAAGCCTCCCGAGGCCAGAAAGCATCCTGGGAACGAACGGCAAAGCCCGGTAAGCACCGCGACGTGACTGTCGCCTACGACGCGAGGGTTCCGGGGCTCACCCAGGACCAGCCGCGGGCGGAGCGGCAACGCGACCTGAAGAGCCGGTACCGCTTCGACTGCGCGTGCCCACGCTGCGAGCGGGAGGCAGCGGCGGAGCGCGGTGCCGAGTGCCCAGAGGAAAACGAGCGCGAGCGCGCGGAGGACGGAGGTGCGGTGGGGTCGGGGCGAGGGACGGGCGCGTTTGGGGATGCAGCCCGTGGAGGGTGATATGCAGCATCGGCGCTGGCATATCCGGGGTCACAGTCTGGCATCGTCCCGACCAAGCTCGCTGCATCCAGCTTCAGCCCGCCCAGTCCCAGGCTTCGTCGGGGCTGATCTGGCTGGGTGGCTTCCCAGATCGGGCTTCATCGCACTTGACCGTGAGTGCGACGAGCTCCCAGAAGTTGTTTTCGAATGTCTTCGGCGTAGTGCACAAGGGCGGGGGATCGAAATGGGTACAGTACCGGAAGAGTGGTAGCAAAGACCGGCTGTAGCTCCTGCCCATTTTGAAGAAGATTCGCCGTCGGTGTCGCCGCGGACGCTGTTCATTTGACACGCAAGCTCCCCTGCTCAACAGCGGCTGTTGTTGGTTCGTGACAAAATTTCCTGTTGGACATACCCATCCATGTTTTTTGCTTAGGATGCATCTCTTGAGGTTGAAGTCAGAGTCGGCGCTGGCGTACCCGTATTCGAAAGCCGGCCTAATACGGCACAGTCCGTTTCTCATCCCGTTTTATCAGGTTCATTATTGCCTTTAGATGGGGCTTACGTTGATCCAATCTGGCTCAATCGCCTTCGATTTGGGCCTAATTGCCCTTACTCGCTCGTTCTTGCGAACACGCGCCGGCAGTTGCCTCCTATAGCACGGGAAGGCAACGAAGACGGACAGCAGGTTCTACCCAGCTTGAGCAGGACCGGACGTCGGCGTCGTCGCGGACGTGATGAGTCATCTGAGATGCAATGTCGCCTACCACACTGCGCGACAACATTGTCTGTTGGGCGTCCTGCCAGCTTGTCCGTACCCATGTTGGGCGTGCCGCAGGGGGAGGCGCGGGGCGGCGCGGGGTGAGTTGGCCTTCTCAGACCTCCAGAGGCTCGAACGTATCGAGGCCAAGTGTCTGCAGCGTGTCCCGCCTCTGGAGGGCCGTTCTCGGGCCGCGGCGTCGTCCAACATCGGGTCGTGATGAATATAGCTTGCCTCAGGGAAAGGGTCGAGAGGTCTGGGGCCCAGGGGCCTGACAGCACAAAGTCTTCGGAGGCCTGGGCGCTGAGAAGGCATGGGGAGCTCCTGAGAGGGCAGGCGCCCCCTAAATGGCCCAGCTGGCATCCAAGAAGCCTTCTCGAATGCCCCTGTGCTGTTCCAAGGAGGCCCCCTCCTTCGAGCGAGCCCCCCCCGCCTGCGTCGCAGGCCGTCTCCCTCGCGCCACTCCCCCTGTTCGGGCCGCCAAGGCCTGGTCAGCGTCCGCACCGGCCGAGCTGCTTCGAGCGCCGCGCGGCCAGGCCCGAGTGTTGACCTGATCGACTGGCCGCGAAGAGAGAA